GACTGGTTAGTAGCTCCGCTAAGACAACTCCAAAGTTATAGACGTCACTCTTTTCTCTTAGCGCCTGCGGTTGATTATACTCAGGGTCCAAGTACCGTAATTTCTCTCGCACATAAGCTGCCACAGCTTCATCATCATCATCATCATCGTCATCATCATCATCAATGAACAATCGTGAAACTCCAAAGCCAAACAACTTTGCCGTCAAATCATAATCCAATAGTATATATTTTGTGTTCACATGTCCGTGTATGATTGGCTTATTGGGAATGAATGAGTGCAAGTAAGCCAGTGCTTCTGCGGTCTCTGACGCTATCTTTATCCGTGACTCCAATGAAAGTGCTTTTGTCTGTGATGATCCTCTGCCCTCTTCTTCTTTATGAATGTGGTCATAGAGGGTGCCATTGGGAATGTACTTAAACACCAGTGCTTGTGTCTGTGGTTCCAAACAACAGCCTAAGAACCTCACCACATTTATGTGGTCGATCTGAGAAGCAACCCCAACCTCTTTAATTACACGTAGACTATAACTGATAGGTCTAGTAGTTTTGGACTTCTTTACCGCAACCCTTGTGCCATCTGGTAGATTTCCTTCGTAAACGGTTGCAGAGATTCCTTGACCAATGATATTAAGGTAATTGTTTGTTGCCTCCTCAAGTTGTTTTGCACTAAATATTTTTGTCCCCAAAAAGTATTGCCTTCCGAATTCAAAGACCATATCCTGCACGTCACTAGCCGTGAGAACAAGGGCTTCAACATCACCTTTTGCGATAACAGACTCGGTTTCCGGTACTCTGCGGGGAAATGAGGTCGACGGTAGCCTCCGTACAAGCTTTTCTCCACATACTTCTCCTGCACCTCGCTCAAAATCACTGGAGCTATCTTCGCCTCTAATGCTTACAAGTCCGTCCACAATGTAGACCATCTTTTTAAGTCGTTTACCCTCTTCAATAATGATATCACCTTCAGTAAACTTCTTAGGCTTAAGACGCCGACAGATTTCTTTCAACACATTTTCATCCATGTTTTGAAACATTGGCTCCTAGAATTAGAATTAATAAATAATAATAAATACATCTTAGAAGAATTAATAAAGAGGAAAGGAATTCAAAATCTTATAACATAATTATTATTCTATCTCTGCAGGTCTGGATCTTGATGTTTTGAGATATTCATGTATGGTCCATAGTGTTCCGAGTTCAAAATCTTAA